TCCGAAAATAGTCTAAGTGAATAATACACTATACACAAATGTACCGAAGGAACAACACCACATGAGATTTAAAATTCAATCTAATACATTTACTTTCTTTTTTGGCTATATGTGCCATTTCAAAGTGTAAAAGTAAAACGATTTTTTAATAACGCGGTGCCCGTTATTTTAGAATGTAGTTACAAAATCAGATACCAACTTATGCTATAATGTATCCTCCTCGACCATTTTCAAATGTAGCTTGTAATTAACTTATGTACCTTCTTTATGCACAGTCTGTCGATGGGATATGCTACTTATAATTGTATATAGTCTTTGTGCGATATGATATGATATGGGGGTGGAGGGTTATAATATTAAAATATTTCTGTTTTGCTGGTCATGGACATATTTTTGTACGCAGTGTCTTTGATGCCAGTAATACATGACTGACCTCAATGTTATTTTCCATGTCTTTATGGAGGGAAACCCTTACTACAATAAAGTCAACTTCATGATTTACAGATAAGCATATACCTATATGTGGAACTGAGAAGTGTTTAATCTGACAGGATTGTAGAATTAAGCTTATAACTTCCTTTTGATAGTGTATGACACTTGAAAGGAACAACGGTTTCCTCTTCCACGTAAGTATCCCATACAAAGGATGAGGATTTAGACATAGATAAAATAGTTCACCGATCATTGTATATATATTGATAAGATATGGCACTGCCCATTAATATACTTCATATCTTATACATACCCATTACACTAATCAATCTCTTAATTTCATTTGATAAAGTTTTAAATTTATACTGACTACATTAACTTTCGTACCATTTTAAAATGCCTTTCTGAAAACGTTCAATGATGTATGTATTGAACATAGCAGCCCTATAGTAAAGATATGGACATCATTATCGGGCTACATTTAAATAGCGGTTTTCACCAAATGCCTCATTTCAGTCCGGGATTAGGGTAATTGCACTGTTAATCCCGTCGAATAGCTGAGAAAATGCGGACTATCTATTGAAAGGATAGTGATAAATTATGATACCGTGAAAAGAAAAGGTAAACATTAGGAGACCAAGCACCAGTTTTATTGTAAGTTAATGTGGCATAATTAACGACTCGGCTCCATCGTGATCGTGTGTCAACATACGTTACAATACGGCTGTAGATAGTCGTCAGGTAGTAGCAAGACATATTACCTTCATAAGCAACGCTGAATATAGTTATGTGATAAAAAAGTAATCCATTTCGTAAATGTTAGCGGTTGTCAGTCTGCTAGCGGTCGTCCACATGCGATTAGTAAGGGTGCGTTCTTTCTACCTTTACCAATCAATTACACGTGGTCTTAATTTGTGATCAAGTATGGGGGCTAGTTGATAATTTATTCAAATGTGATGTTGTAAGGTACTACAATACTATTCTCACTTGTAAAAATTTCTTATTATATGTTATGTTTGAGTTCAAACCTTTATATTTGAATCATTTTTTTTAAATGGCCAGACAAGACAACTATGATTTATGTTATTCAAATTAATGTAGAAATACATTTATTATTTTAATAAAATAAATGACACAAATAATTTCCATAATTTCTTTCCAAAGACGAAATACTTGTTAATTATGCTTCGGTATTACAATCATTTACATTAATGTTAAGGATTCGAACCTCTCCCGTTTATACCTAAACTTCACAAGAATCCATATAAACAACGTTTTATAGCTGGCTCATCTAACTGTTCAACCAAGCCTTTGTCTGAACTACTAACCACCATTCTAAGTACTATCAATTCTGGGTTACAGTCTTATGGTGATAGTGTTTACTGAAGAAGTAGAATTAACAGTATGTGGATTTTGAAGAACTCGAAAGAGCTTTTGACCAATCTTCAACAATATTTCTTCTATAAGAACATTTCATTTTCCCACACTGTACATCACCGTACCCCATTCTCTTGTTATGAGAGCTCTCTTCCCCCAGAACGGTGAACGGCGGTGTAAATATAAAATGGTTATGAACTATTCTGATAATCTGAATGTATTTCGTAAAAATTACGTCGAAAGCAAATAATATATATACGGAGGACGAATTCATAAAAGTGATCGGTGTCTGGTTGACAACATTTTCGTCGCGTTTGGTGGTAAGATCTTCCAACAGACTGTTGGCATACCTATGGGAACCAACTGCGCTCCTCTGTTGGCTGACTTGTGTTTGTCTTCATACGAGGCTGAATTTACTGAAGAGCTTATCAAAACAGGTCACAAAGCCTTTGCAAAGTTTAATTTCACCTTCAGATATATTGATGATGTCTTGTCATTAAGTAACAAAAAAAATTATTGACTACGTCCATCGTATATATCCACCAGGTTGCCCGTTGGTTCCGTTGTTGTATACCTTATTCTAATTTGAGAACGTGGCATTACTTACTTGGATTGACCAAGGTTTACATGGCGGGTGTCGTCGGTGAAGCAGACGACCCTTGCTCTTTCTTAAGGAACACAGGGTCTTATTCCCCTGTACTTTTTCAGGAGTTTGCGTGTAAATCTTCATTTTCACCTTTTTCAGACATTTGAATTTGAATTATGATAATGTTAACATTCTTGTTTTTCATCAGCATTTGAAATAACAAAAAAACCCGTTTATTTCAATAATATTATTTAATGTCAAGACCATTTGTGGTTGTAGCTGTTATTTCTTATTTTTCTCATTTATTTACAGATTATCAATTCAGGTATCTATTCTCCAATCAAGTCAGTGATGTCTTTTCGGCATGTACATCTAATCAATAATAGATTTATCATAAAAATCCAATGTTGTATCAAATCATTCCGTGCGTTGCTAGGACGCGTCTTTTTCGGATCATCGACCATTTCTGCGCTTCAGTATAACAAACATATCCTAATAGTTTCAAACCAAAAAGATCTAGACGGCTGTACTGGAACTGAAAAATCTTTGAAACAATTTGAAAGGCATCGTTACAATATAGTCACTTTTTTGTTTGTAAGGTTGGATGGATGTTGGGAAGGGGATATGGAGAAGGGGAAGACAATTTATAGCTGTAGTTATAAAATTATAACTCTATTTCGATTTGTGTCAGTTCTTATCTTTGTTACATGGGAAAGGGCAGATATTTCCTTTCTTCATGCGGAAAACATCTATATTTTAGATTTGAATCAAGAGGTGATATTCGTGGTGGACTTTTGTCCCAATCCAGGTACGTAATGTCGTGTTTCAAATGAGAAGAAGGCATAAAAACAATGGTGTAAATTTTTTTTGTCCATATTTTGTCCTAGTTTTTGTTTAAATTTGAGCTTGGACCACGATAATGTTCTCATTATTGCAACATGTGACTTGCAGTGTAAATGGCCAAATTTCAATCCACGTTCCAACTGTTTTGGCTGTTTTTGTATTTATTTTGGTTTTGAAAGGATACGTTTCACAACAACTTTGATCAAATATATTAAATTATATAAAAAATATTATTTATTTATTCATCTATTTATTTTATAATCTTACTGTCATCATTAAAGAAGAAGTGATAAATCAGTGTTTAGTGATATCATTTACATTAACGCAATTAGCATAGGAGTTGGAAGAAACAAAATAAATCCTATCAAACCATTTGTACAGTACATACGCTATAAACATATGAATATTAATTAACCTGATTTGTATCGTATTGATTTATACTCATTCACACCACGTAATCAGATATAAAAGTTTAATATGAACATAGTATAATCAACTGAAAAGAAATCTACTTTCCCTGTTCATAAAACGTAATAGTGTTCCGTGCTCAATAAGTCTTCATTTCATCTCAAATAATAACCGGCATATAGTGAGCGTGGCTAAAAGCATAACTCAGTACTCTATTATTACCATTTTATTCTGAGAAACATTATTTTCGCGAGAATTACTTGTTAGCCAATTCGCGACTTTCACTATTTCTGTATTTCACAAAACCATGGAATCCTTTTATACAAGTTATTTGGTACTCATCAGCTTAGCTACAAAAGGTAAAGCGATATTAGGTTTTATTTAAATAAAATTAATGACAACAAATATTCATTCAAATTTTATTATGAGAACAAAATATATAGGGAGACAAACAATCACTACAAACCAAGCATTTTACAAGCATAAAGCGAAACGATTTTTATAAAGCTTACGTTTTTAGCAATGAGAGATACGCAGACAAAAGCAACATTTTAATGAAGTCATTATGGATGATAAGAAAACAATTATAATTGATTTGTCGGGCAAAATTACGAACTCAAATTAGCGCACAAATAACTCTTTCATATGATCTTTAATACGAAATGGAAATTGTATAAAGGTCAGTTACGAGCTGAATGTATAAGTTAAGCACACTGGACGGTATATAAACGTATAGTATCAGCAAACGTATTCAGCTAGAATCACTTTATACAATGAATGCTTTGTTAAATTGTAAAAAGACTTTAATATAGATAGTTTAATATCCATCAATAGTCATCTAAATTTGCATATGTGGAAAAGATCCAGAAAGGCATATCAATATTCGTCATATAGTAACACATCTATAAGACAGCGAAATGCAGGATAATTCATGAAACACGTTTCATTAGTTGGAGGTAAATTGTTTCTGTTCTCCGTCATAGATGCATTGCTATGTCATGTAAACAGCTCTTTTTAATATATTCGCATAATTACATCATCACAGTCAAGACCATCATAAACCCATTGAGCATACATATGCTATATTATGTGCATATAATAATGTATCAGTGTAAGTATGAAATTCTATATCAATACACCAAACAAACATATTTTAGCATTTTAGTCTTTGTCGTGTTACTAATCTACGTTTGAATTGTTTTAAAATTATAGTAAAATCAAAAAACAAAAGAGTGCGCGGCTACAAGTCTGCTAAATCACGCATTAGCACTCAAAGAATCAAACAAAACCAACTATAAAAAATACAACAATTGAACCAATAAACATTTTGGACGGAACTTTCGTTTAATGTTGATTATTTTCTATAACGACTAGCATTCTTTTTACTGGACGGATTAAAAGACACAGATTCTATAGCAGATACAATAAACTCGTTAGTCTTAAGGTGGTCGATCTCATAAATCTTAAAAGTACAAAAAATGTCATATATTCATGCATGAAATTGAATTATATGAAATTTAAAAAAAAACGCACACACACAACTAGTTGAAAAAAATTGAAATCAATATTTCTTTCTGGACATCACACATTATAGAAATTTAAAAAAAAAAAAAAAAAAAAAAAACCACACGTTTGATTTCATAGAACAGAAGACAATTTCTGTTATTCATGAGTGAGGGTTGGTCCTCTCCTTAGGTAGTAAACAGGTCTTAAGCATCATTGTGACCAACTCTGTTCCTGTTAAAAATTGTTAAAACGAATTATTGAAATAGTATAATGTTATTTTGTTCATTAGAAATTATAATACAAGCATTCACTTCAAACGTTATACATATTTCAGGTAATTAGTCATTCTTTTAATAAATATCGTTAATGCTAATAGATGAAATATAATAAAACATACCTGTTTTTCCAACGTGGTTTTCTACTAGAAAAAAATCACAAAATGAAAATGTCGAAAGACTATTGCATGTATTGCAGAGTCATTAAGTTGTCAGCCAGAGTACTGCTATCATTTTAACCTTAACCATTTTCTTTTATCTTGATCTCAGTGCGTCTGAATTTTTTCATCATGTTAACATGCAAGATTAACACGAGCACACTATCGATGAAGACAAAAAGATAATCTTCGTATTTTAATTGTCTACTTATTTATGCAGAGCACATATAGAAAATCCAGTTCATTGCACTACTGTATTTTAATATTCTTTTATGCCTTTTACTTTTTTCTCTCGTTGTTCAAAACATCGACATTTCGTTATTTTTACAAGATGAATAAGAAAATAGATTTGCAAGAAAACATTAATAGAACTGTTAAAGCTAACAAATGTTTTTGCATTTTTTATGTTTCTATCTTCTTAATATACAATTAATAACAGTTCACAATTTAGGAAATTACTCAAATACAAACTTATTTCAGCCTATAGAAAGTAATAAAGAACAACTTACACTCCCGAAGGCACATCCCGGAACAGATTGGAAAGTTTGATACCAAATACAATGCTTGGAACGAGGAAGAATATACACCAACCCAACGAAAACCAAAATCCGTTCTGAAACAACAAATTGATAGACAGGATAGCCGTTCGTTTGTGTTGTTAAGATGATATTGCTTTGATAACGGTTTACGTGTGAAGAAGGGTGTTATTTTTTCATCATAATGGTAGTTTTACATTCAATAGAAAAAAAGCTTTACTGCTGCGTTTTTGTTCCTGAGTACCTAATGTTCAATTACTGCAGGTCTATCGAACTTGATTGTGTAAACTTACGCGTGGGTGGTTTGGATATGTACAAAGTATACTTAAACAAGAATCCGCAAAGTGTTGCATTACTCCCGCACCCAGCTGCTGGTGTAAAACCCAAATATGATATATATATATATATATCTCCGGTATAACAATTTATGACGCTACTAGAATATGTACCGCTACTATCACCAAAAGATCTCATACAATGAAAGCGATTTCTTGCATTCCCACAACTTCAACATTATATATATACCTTACAGTAAGAGTTTATTTCTTGATCCCGTGTGTTTTACTGCTGATATTTGAATAGAGCTCAATATTGTCCATTAACAAATTTATGAAACTCTCTGGAGTAATACAAGAAGTCACAAGAAATCGAACTTCGGTGGAAACAGAAAAAAAAGATAAACAATAAAATGTCCTCAATAAGAAATGGCACGACTTCGGCACAAGCTCAATGTATACAGCAAGTTTTGTGAAGCTGAGTTGAAAAGTTGTAAAGATGAAGCCCAGAAAATCCACGTGATTCGCGGGAAATAAAATGGCATTCACGTACGTGTCCTGGTATTTCACATTCCAAGATAATCAATAATCACGTGAACATTTTAGTAATACCAGAAGATATAAACATAGCTCAATGATGATATATTTCTGCACAACATTTCTTAACTTCCTTACCAGCGAGTCGACAGTGTATTGACACACGGACACAATGATGATGGAACTGTATAGGTTCCAAATCGGACCACATTTCCCGAGGTCTTGGTAAATCTGAAATAAATAATGTTTTTTGGGGAAAATCATTTCTCTGTTATGTATTCAGAAGTATCTAATAGAAAGTAAGTTCGAAAAAAGTTTAGCTATTTGAATAAATGGTCTCATTTTCACTTACATTACCAAAGATAAGTTATTTTGCAAGAATTAAACATTTATTTATTCGACTTACCGCATTCTTGGTGCTGGTATAAAAGATATCCACAACATCAAAGGTGTTATTAATGAAATGATCCGATATCTGAAACATCAGTAGATCTGAATGAATAACCAAAACCTACATAGTTGTAACGGGAATATACAAGTTAATATCAATATAACAACGTGATTAGGTCATTATCCTTAATCTGATTTATCTATGTGACTGATATCACTTTAATTCAAATAACAACACATCCTAAGGGAAGGGAGACAATTCATTTAGTACATCTCTCCTTTACTCCGCTGATTTCATAATGTTGTTTCGGGCGGCATTTATAACAACTAATAACTGAATAAACTACAGGCAATTTTGTTTCTCTTGTAATACTAGATGCCCAACAAATGCTAGGAGAGGCTTTATGTCACAAAGAATATTTGGCTGTTATCATCTCACAATATTGTGAAAGAAAAATAAAGACGGATATGAAAAAGGAAGCACTAAGTTTACTTCGTTGAGGAACTTTAGTTAAGCTACTCTCACATCCAACACATTCAAGAAAAAAGTCGTCGTAACTTGCTGTAAAGCAAATTTCCTGTAGAAGAGTGATAGAGATCAGGCAGTGGTATATGTGTAAGGTTTAATATATATGTGCATGCCACGTTTCAATTAATTAATAGTGGCATGGTTCAGAGTATACACATGTTCTTGACGCTGTTCTAAAAGTATCTGATATCTGAAAATGACGAGGTATCTTTAATTATCGGGCTGCTGCACTTCCTCGTCCAGATTTTGACTTTGGATTTTCCGCTGTCGCCATCACAATGTAGGTCCTTAGCATAACTAAGCAGTTGTAGGAGGACGAAACAGGTGTAAGATACAGTATGATTGATTGCTTCGCTCTACTTTGTCTCACTCTAAATTTATATTAAAAGATACTCTTCATATATAATACAATATCTTGTATATCAGAGCGTATTCATAATATAATACCTAATAATAGCCTAATTGGTTCTTGTCTAATCAGAGATATAATGATAAACCAGTGTATTTAAACTTCAACCGGCCTCACCTTCGTCAGTTTCTCTATTACCATTTATCGTCTGGAAATCATAACTATAAAGGTATATCTATGTTCCATTTAAAAATTTGACATACCTTCCTCATTTCCCCTTGATTCTGGATCGCTGATGTTGCACTCGCTAGTTGGATTTTAACGTCATCAACCAAAGGCTAGTTAATAAAAGTAACAACAACATCGTATAAATTATCTTATTTATGATCAATACACCAACTGTTATCATGGTTTTAACAATCATAAAATATTAACAATATTTTATTTCGTTATTGTCAAAATGCATGATGTCATTCCTTTACTTCGTGGAAGGTTTTTTTCTGACGTCATATTAGTGAAAATCTTGTAACAGTCATTCAACAATTAAGCCCACATATCCCTCTTAGTAAGTAAACAAAGTAGTTTGATATCTTATAATTTATCTTATAATAAACGATTGAATGTCAGGAGATTAATGATAATTCGCACAAAATACAGTGCTCGCCATTGAACAAAATTAAAAGAAGATTGAAAATGTTGCTTTAATCTTTGTTTACTCGCTGCAATTTCATAATAAACAATTGTGTTGATGCAGCTACACGAACGAAAATATCCTCATGCGAACATTTAATTAATTCTGTATATCATTCTTAACCCGTGTAGTATATGTTATAAATCAAGGTGTGTGATAAACTGCAGGATTTTAATTTCCCTTCTATGTGCTCCACTTCGCAGTTGATCCGATATTGTGCGATATGAAGTTAGATGAGTTCGATACTTGTTAGTATGTCTGTTTCTTTGCTGTCAACCTTGTTTTCATTTGAGTACGTGGCTTTATTTCCTTGGATTGACAAATTATTACATTGATGATTCAGAAAACGCTTACCCTTGCGAAATACCTGGCATGTTTCTTGCATGTTACAATGGTCTCTGTGCGATTCATTCTACAATATCTTAGATTCATAGATTTTGAGCATTACCTAAGATTCCATCAATATTTACGTATATCTTAATCTTATTATATACATAAACATCATTGTTCATCAATTAACAATAGATCATTCTTAAAAGTATACATACAGTGAATGTCTCGAACTTACCCCGATCGTGGTTGTAAGTGTTTTCAGTGGAACTAATTTCTGTTGCATTACACCCTGAAAAACATTGTTAAAACACTGACAGCTCAAGTAGCAGGATATGTCTTGCTTCATCTTTTATCATTAGGGATTTCGAGAGATAAGACATACAAGAGGATAAAGACTATATGGATTTTAATGGTCGCCATCCTGATTTCATTGCGGAATATTCTACATTCTTTGTAGGGTGTAAAGTTTATAAGTATACCTGACGGTTTTGTTGCTGAAGTATTATTCTTATTTCTTATTTGAAATCAACAAATTTACATCAGGGGTGTCATCAATGAATTAGATAAAGTTAACTGCCCCTTCTTACTATTTCTCACTAAGATAAATAAAAAATTATTCACGGACGGGGCATACTTGCAACGTAAAGAGAGTTGGAAACCTATTGGTACCTCATTCGGTAACACAATCGAAATTTGCCTTCGTCATACGTAGCTTACCAGTGATGTAGAGACCGTGGATATAGCTTGTTGCTGGGGAGAAGTCAAGCCTGTAAACTACATTATTTATTACAGAGTCAGTTTATAGTTTTACATTACATCACACTACATAACAACAGCGATATGATTTCCTAGTGTTAAAAAATCATTTTTATGATTCATTTTAGTGATATTTCATACAACAATGATACACATTTGCACTACATATTATTAGTTGCAAATTTGATAAATAACTTTAATTGGTAAGTAGATAAACATGTACATTGTATTTGTTTGAAAATTATATTTATTGAAAAATTGTATACAAATTTTTTATCTATTCGTGATATTAATTTAGATCCACAATAATAGATAAATGGTATTGTTTTATACATATGAAATAATAAAATTAGAAGAAAAAAATCATGAATAAACTCACCGAGGCCAATTTGTCCACAACAGTTTTCAGATCAGTAATCTATGATGAAAACTAAATAGGTATATATAGACTAAGAAATGCATACTACGATAAATTCGCTCTCATATATCAACCTTATGTTAAGTGAACTAAGTACAATGGAGTTAAAAAACATACAGATCATAGCATGTACAATACACACAGGTACATATGTGAAAACATAAAACACAAGAATCAGAATTTTAAAACATAACACCCACGATCATGAATCATAAAATACTACACATGTACAAGAATCATACAACAGGGTACGCAAGTAAAAGAATGATTAAACATGATATACAGGTACAAGAATGATTAAACATGATTTACAGGTACAAGAATGATTGAACATGAGGCACAGGTACAAGAATGATTAAACATGATATACAGGTACAAGAATGATTAAACATAATTTACAGGTACAAGAATGACTGAACATGATATACAGGTACAAGAATGATTAAACATGATTTACAGGTACAAGAATGATTAAACATGATATACAGGTACAAGAATGATTAAACATGATACACAGGTACAAGAATGATTGAACATGATATACAGGTACAAGAATGATTAAACATGATTCACAGGTACAAGAATGATTGAACATGATATACAGGTACAAGAATGATTGAACATGATTTACAGGTACAAGAATGATTGAACATGATATACAGGTACAAGAATGATGAAACATGATTTACAGGTACAAGAATGATTGAACATGATATACAGGTACAAGAATGATTAAACATGATTTACAGGTACAAGAATGATTAAACATGATATACAGGTACAAGAATGATTAAACATGATGCACAGGTACAAGAATGATTAAACATGATACACAGGTACAAGAATGATTGAACATGAGGCACAGGTACAAGAATGATTGAACATGATATACAGGTACAAGAATGATTAAACATTATTCACAGGTACAAGAATGATTGAACATGATATACAGGTACAAGAATGATTAAACATGATATACAGGTACAAGAATGATTAAACATAATTTACAGGTACAAGAATGATTGAACATGATATACAGGTACAAGAATGATTAAACATGATTTACAGGTACAAGAATGATGGAACATGATATACAGGTACAAGAATGATTGAACATGATTTACAGGTACAAGAATGATTGAACATGAGGCACAGGTACAAGAATGATTGAACATGATACACAGGTACAAGAATGATTGAACATGAGGCACAGGTACAAGAATGATTGAACATGATACACAGGTACAAGAATGATTAAACATGATGCACAGGTACAAGAATGATTGAACATGATACACAGGTACAAGAATGATTAAACATGATGCACAGGTACAAGAATGATTAAACATGATACACAGGTACAAGAATTATCTATACAAATGTCTATACCACTTCAGATCACCCATTTTAGGGCAGTTAAGTGTAATATGTATGAGAAGGGAGGTAACCGATTTTAGTCTCGCTTTTAACACTTTATTATTGGTATTTACCAAATCATTTAAAGTTGTAAAGTATTTTAACGCCTAGGTAAGATCTTATCTCATTAGAAATATAATACTTTCTTGTTCCAGTATATAATGGACTATGATTGTTCATAATGAGTAATAGTCAATAATGAAAAGAAAATTCATACATACCTCTTTTTCCATGGCATTTACATCGAAATTACTAATGTCTCGTTTTGTGTTATCAAGCTTTGTTGTGACAGCACCGTCAGTTAAGTTAACTGATGCGAATGACCCTCCCGCGAGGTTATTAAGTACATCATCCAACTGGGTCTTCATATCCTGTTGTTGACCAATATTTTACACTTCATCGGGAGATTCAGTAAAACAAATTATCAAAAATTTGATCAATATGATTCCAAGTCTGAATTTCACATGGTGATATTCATCATGTGATCAAATAGTCGAGAGACGCAATGGATTGCAAATTCATCATTCACTGAGGCAGTTTGTATTAAGTTATCATTCACTAAGGCAGTTTGTATTAAGTTGTCATCCACTAAGGCATTTTGTATTAAGTTATCATCCACTAAGGCAGTTTGTATTAAGTTGTCATCCACTAAGGCATTTTGTATTAAGTTGTCATCCACTAAGGCAGTTTGTATTAAGTTGTCATCCACTAAGGCAGTTTGTATTAGGTTGTCATCCACTAAGGCAGTTTATATTAAGTTATCATCCACTAAGGCAGTTTATATTAAGTTGTCATCCACTAAGGCAGTTTATATTAGGTTATCATCCACTAAGGCAGTTTATATTAGGTTATCATCCACTAAGGCAGTTTATATTAAGTTATCATTCACTAAGACAGTTTATATTAGGTGATCATCCACTAAGGCAGTTTATATTGGGTTATCATCCACTAAGGCAGTTTATATTAGGTTATCATCCACTAAGGCAGTTTATATTAAGTTATCATTCACTAAGACAGTTTATATTAGGTGATCATCCACTAAGGCAGTTTATATTAGGTTATCATCCACTAAGGCAGTTTATATTAGGTTATCATCCACTAAGGCAGTTTGTATTAGGTTATCATCCACTAAGGCAGTTTGTATTAGGTTATCATCCACTAAGGCAGTTTGTATTAAGTTATCATCCACTAAGGCAGTTTGTATTAAGTTATCATCCACTAAGGCAGTTTGTTTTAAGTTATCATCCACTAAGGCAGTTTGTATTAAGTTGTCATCCACTAAGGCAGTTTGTATTAAGTTATCATCCACTAAGGCAGTTTGTATTAAGTTATCATCCACTAAGGCAGTTTGTTTTAAGTTATCATCCACTAAGGCAGTTTGTATTAAGTTATCATCCACTAAGGCATTTTGTATTAAGTTATCATCTACTAAGGTAGTTTGTATTAAGGTGTGTGTGAGGGTGTGTGTGTGATGGTGGTGATGGGATGTGTGTTTTCTTGAAAGAGATTTCATTACATATGATACTATATGAAAAACGTTTGAGTAAATTTTTATTTTGCAGATTTTGGTGAGCAAAATGGAAACTTCGAGATTCCAAAATAACAGACATATCAAAACAAGGGAATTCATTAAATTATAGGGCACCTCCCAATCTACATTTACATATTTTTTCGATCATTTTAGATTGTTTTCTCTGTCTTAACTTAGGCTTAATGATTAGGGCCTTCGCATCGCGAAACGCACAAAACAGCTGTATAATGCAGTTTTATTGATTTTTGGCTCTACTGTATCTAACCCTCAATTATCTAAAAGTTCTTCACTTGTCTGTCTTTTGTACAAAAGTCTAATGACACAAAATCAGCTAACATATTTCCCTTTTTGGATCGAGGTTTAGAGATAGAAAATCAACTTACTTTTTTAGCTGTTGTTATTTGTCGTTCCAGAGCTGGGAAATCAACGAGATTGCCCATTTTCTCCATTTGTAACGCACTATAGATTGCCTTGTTCTCTTTACAAGAACTGTAATTGAAATAACATGCTTACCTGTACTGAATAAACTTACTGTTTCAACGATCAATCTTATCTTTTTATTTCATCTTGAACTCTATGCGTATAAGAACTTACTAAAAGCGGTTTTGAAAATAACAACAATAAATTTCTAATTGTTTTTGCGCCTTAATTCACTTATTTCTTAAAACTTTAACGACAGATATCAATTATAGCTGTTGTTCACCTGATTAATAGAAAATTTAAAATATTCTCTCGATCAAAAGTCTTACTAATGAGGTTTAGATGGTTGGAAACGAATAGTAATCCCAGTTTATTTCCTGTTAAAAAGTGATATTCGCATAGGAGATATATATATCCTACACGTACAAGGGACTCTAAAAATGAAGGTATATAAATCAATCTATTTAATAGTATATGTCCTTATTCTGAAATCTGCGAACAAAATAAGAAATATATCCTGCCTTAGGGCTCTACTAATAGTTTTTATATTTCATTTGGATAGAACGTAATCCCTACCTTAGGATTGTTCCCAGACTTGGTGCGTCTTGTTGGTATTGCAGCATCGATTTGATATCAACAAAGTCATTCAACACCTACGAGAAATAATTATTTTACAGTTATGACAATGAACAACATGTATAAAACCAAGACCAGATAAGAGGCACATGGGTCTCAACGGTCATCGGAATATAACGACCTATAAATGATACCCCAACAGCAGCAGCAGAAATAGATATCGGATATCAGACTGAACCGAAAAGTAACAAGTTGGTAAGTACCATCTTATGATCATTTCAGACAGTTTCGGCTCAATCCAACAATTGGAATCTGAGAAATTTAAAGGTGTCTTTTTTCAAGAAGGTCGTATTGCATTTAGGACTGACACAAAACTTCAATAAAAATGTAAACAAAAGTTCAATATGTTGAAAACATGTTACGGACGCTGGACGACGGACGGTGCACGATGACGGACGAAACCTGAAGGCTTAAAACATCTGCGAACTGAGTGAAGATAAGTATTTTACATACACATTTGTACCTTCATAAAGTCCAAAAAGACAATAAAATTGATTTAGAACAGTTCATTCCAATATGTCAATGTTTCGTTATTCTTTTAATTGTTGACGTGCCAGGTTGAAGTGGTTGATAAAAGCCTGAATGCCCGGGAAAAACACCGATCTGCGGTCAGATTATCGCGACTGCCCTTAGCAATAACGTTGCAATGATTCACCATTAACATTTTCTTGTAATTTGATAGTGCAAAAAAATTTGTCTGTACTTTTTTTTAAACGTAAAACATAAGATGTACTGCGGTCCCTTTCTATAAGTCCACTTGGCTTTAGATCGTAAAATTCGCTCCTGGACCTCTAATTCAGCCTTGACCTCAATCATTTTTGTACAAGTATAGGGTTATCAGAGCCGACTAACATGGCGGAGAGTTCACGAAGCCCGTTTTGTATTTTAAAAAACTTTTCGTCTTATACCTTTTCACGGTGTTTACCATAAATCTGTGAAAATAGCTTTATAGGATACCTTAAACTAAACTTAAACTAAAAAGGAATTATTTAAGATCCATATACCTGGTCCTTTCTCGACATTCTCGAAATCTAAAAATATAGTTACAGAACCATGGCTACTGAAGCATGTGTCATTAAAAAAAATTAAATACACCACGTCAGAGTCCTAGATACCAGAAAATAATATATTCTGCTCTGAGACAGTTTGCCATTTGGAATCTGCTTTCTCAAAAAAAACAACAGGACATTTGTATTTCATTTTTCTCCACAAGTCAACAATATAATTTTATCAATCATTTCCTGTAAATTTTTAATCCCCGCATCATTTAAATTGTGGAGCACTAGACCTACCTATGTTTGCTATTATGGTGTTAAAATCACCGGCTATTGTGGTGTTTTCAAACCCAATATCTTGAAGAAATCAATGCTTAATAAATTTATCATCTTATCATCTATCTGTAACTGTACCTGTATCAGCCATTCCGTCCAGAACTAGCAATAAAGTATCCTTTCAGAATGATTCTCAGTAATATTGCTACGCCTTGTCGACCATTGTCACCATTACAGTATAAAACAATACCATTCCATTTATCTCGTACTCGATGAATATTTTTTTCTGTCCAAATAGTTTCTTGTAAAAAACAATTCAAAACTGGAAAGACTTTCTGTAATTTATCTATATCACTTAACCCATTACAGCTGAAAGACAAAATCGTCACCATCAAAAGTAATCGTCCAATACAGAAGAAACATTAGTTTTGTTGTTTAGATTTCTTAGAAGAATTGGCCCGACATCTCAAGCTTTTGACATTTTTCCTTTTCTATTCTGGACAGGAATAAACTCATTCTCAACGTCAGAACCATCTTCCTCTATAGACCCCTCACTCCTTTCCCAAAATACCCCATTTAGTGGCGTCTCAGTGATGGTCTAAGGGGAAGAAGGGTTGCCACACCAGGCACTTCCACCACCTTCCTAAGTCACCAGAATTAACATCATCAAAAGTGGTGTCGTTTACTAATTTTGTTTTTTTCATCCATGTCCAATCTCCCGAAAAGATCTCCACCCGTCACTCCATTCTCCGTTTTCTTACCAAATACATGTACCATCTGTCCACATCCTCAGGCATCGCCCACGGCTGCTTCCCGAACTCTCATGATGTTGTCATCATTTTCCTCCCGTCACCACCCTCTTTTGATTCGCCCATTTTTCTGTCGCAGACGTAGATGAACTGACTACAACCGGTGCAGGTAACATTGCCATCACACCGACACTCGAAGAACCCGCACATGTCACACAGGGACCTCCAACCACTGTCGCTCTCTAGTTTGACCGTCCGCTATGTCCGTGCCAGGGTAACACCTACCTTTTATCGGGACGTGGACAGTAACTCTCAATTGCGAAAGTTTGTGTTTTATTTTCTCATCAGATAATGTATGCCGGAATATGGAGGAAAGAAACAAATGAATATGTTTTACCACCTCCGACACCTCACACATACGGCCCTTCACCTCGTCACCGTTTAATAAATGCTGACCAGTTGACATTCCATATATATATCTTCAATTGCTCGGATAAGTTCCGAAGGATGAACTGACATGTTATCCCGGACATTCACCAAATACATACAGTCCTTCTTACAGATCTTTGTACGACCATTTTGGCCGTCTCCGATCGATTCAATCATAAAAATGGCTCAAAATAACCAGCCAAGTAACAAATTTACACGATTATATCTACAAATGAAGGCAGGAAATTTTCTGATTATAGCACACCAATTTTTAGCTAATATTCACGAGGAACTTACGATTGAACTTACGATTGAATTTACGGAAACGTATATCGCCGTTCGTCCTGCGGGCATTCAAACCGTAAGTCCAGAACAGATGCCTTAACCAATCTGTTACCGCGGCCTCTCTATGATTTATATCTTACCGATTCTATATCCGTGAGTTCAGGGTCCTTCAAGGGTTCACACATAAACTTCTCTGTCAATGCTCCAACGGCGAAAAGCAGTGTGGTCAGCAACATCAACAGCCATGCAAACAGGAAGATGAAGACGATAGATCTGATAAATGATGAAAATAGATTTAAAAGTAGTCCCATCCATTCCTACAAACATCCATGTCTGTCTATTCAAGACGTAATGAAATTGACCGTATAGGTAAGGAAAATTTTAGTCAAAATCAAAATTGATAAGGCATGAAAATATATCAAATTCCCATGTAAAAAAAAATTATAAAAAAGATTATAGTCAATAATATTTAAAAACAGACAAATACCAATTATTTCTAAGTAGTATATTTGATATCACAAACAATTATGTTTTAGGTTGGCAAAATAAACACGTAGCTTGTAACAGATCTTCAAGAAGAAGCGTTATGACTCAATAACGAAGTTTTACGATACATCAGATCTTTCCGCATAAGTGTTATCATTCAAAAGTTCGGAACATACGCAATTATCATTCGTCCGCCTGAATTAGACATGCAGCCCTTGGGGTCGTCAGGAGCGGAACGGCAGCTTCCAAACACTCCAAAACCTAAGCCAAAAAATTGTAGTCCAACGATAAGGGAGATAATACCTCCAATGGACACACCAGCAATCCATCTGAAACAGTATGAATGTCGGTATGATATTACACACAAACGACACACCAGCAATCCATCTGAAACAGTATGGATGTCGGTATGATATTACACACAAACGACACACCAGCAATCCATCTGAAACAGTATGGATGTCGGTATGATATTACACACAAACGACACACCAGCAATCCATCTGAAACAGTATGGATGTCGGTATGATATAACACACAAACGACACACCAGCAATCCATCTGAAACAGTATGGATGTCGGTATGATATAACACATAAAAGACACACCAGCAATCCATCTGAAACAGTATGGATGTCGGCGATATGATATTACACACAAACGACACACCAGCAATCCATCTGAAACAGTATGGATGTCGGTATGATTTAACACACAAAAGACACACCAGATATTACACACAAACGACACACCAGTAATCCATCTGAAACAGTATGGATGTCGGTATGATATTACACACAAACGACACACCAGCAATCCATCTGAAACAGTATGGATGTCGGTATGATATTACACACAAACGACACACCAGCAATCCACCTGAAACAGTATGAATGTCGGTATGATATTACACACAAACGACACACCAGCAATCCACCTGAAACAGTATGGATGTCGGTATGATATTACACACAAACGACACACCAGCAATCCATCTGACACAGTATGAATGTCGGTATGATATTACACACAAACGACACACCAGCAATTCACCTGAAACAGTATGAATGTCGGTATGATGTTACACACAAACGACACACCAGGAATCCACCTGAAACAGTATGAATGTCGGTATGATATTACACACAAACGACACACCAGCAATCCACCTGAAACAGTATGGATGTCGGTATGATATTACACACAAACGACACACCAGCAATCCACCTAAAACAGTATGAATGTCGGTATGATATTACACACAAACGCCACACCAGCAATCCACCTGAAACAGTATGAATGTCCGTATGATGTTACACAAAAACGACACACCGAAAATCCATCTGAAACAGTATGGATGTCGGCGGTATGATATTACACACAAACGACACACCAGCAATCCATCTGAAACAGTATGAATGTCGGTATGATGTTACACACAAACGACATACCAGCAATCCATCTGAAACAGTATGGATGTCGGTAAGATATTACACAAAAACGACACACCAGCAATCCATCTGAAACAGTATGGATGTCGGTATGATATTACACACAAACGACACACCAGCAATCCACCTGAAACAGTATGGATGTCGGTATGATATTACACAAAAAAGACACACCAGCAATCCATCTGACACAGTATGAATGTCGGCGGTATGATATTACACACAAACGACACACCAGTAATCCATCTAAAACAGTATGGATGTCGGTATGATATTACACACAAACGACACACCAGCAATCCATCTGAAACAGTATGGATGTCGGTGGTATGATATTGCACACAAACGACACACCAGCAATCCATCTGAAACAGTATGGATGTCGGTATGATATTACACACAAACGACACACCAGCAATCCATCTGAAACAGTATGGATGTCGGTATGATGTTACACACAAACGACACACCAGCAATCCATCTGACACAGTATGAATGTCGGTATGATATTACACACAAACGACACACCAGCAATCCACCTGAAACAGTATGAATGTCGGTATGATATTACACACAAACGACACACCAGCAATCCATCTGAAACAGTATGGATGTCGGTATGATATTACACACAAACGACACACCAGCAATCCATCTGAAACAGTATGAATGTCGGTATGATATTACACACAAACGACACACCAGCAATCCATCTGAAACAGTATGGATGTCGGTATGATATTACACACAAACGACACACCAGCAATCCATCTGAAACAGTATGAATGTCGGTATGATGTTACACACAAACGACACACCAGCAATCCATCTGAAACAGTATGGATGTCGGTAAGATATTACACACAAACGACACACCAGCAATCCATCTGAAACAGTATGGATGTCGGTATGATATTACACACAAACGACACACCAGCAATCCCTGAAACAGTATGAATGTCGGTATGATATTACACACAAACGACACACCAGCAATCCATCTGAAACAGTATGGATGTCGGGAAGATGATACACACAAACGACACACCAGCAATCCATCTGAAACATGTCGGTATGATATTACACACAAACGACACACCAGTAATCCATCTGAAACAGTATGGATGTCGGTATGATATTACACACAAACGACACACCAGCAATCCATCTGAAACAGTATGGATGTCGGTATGATATTACACACAAACGACACACCAGCAATCCATCTGAAACAGTATGGATGTCGGTATGATATTACACACAAACGACACACCAGCAATCCATCTGAAACAGTATGGATGTCGGTATGATATTACACACAAACGACACACCAGCAATCCATCTGAAACAGTATGGATGTCGGTATGATATTACACACAAACGACACACCAGCAATCCATCTGAAACAGTATGAATGTCGGTATGATATTACACACAAACGACGCACCAGCAATCCATCTGAAACAGTATATGTGTATGATATTACACACAAACGACACACCAGCAATCCATCTGAAACAGTATATGTCGGTATGATATTACACACAAACGACACACCAGCAATCCATCTGAAACAGTATGGATGTCGGTATGATATTACACACAAACGACACACCAGCAATCCATCTGAAACAGTATGAATGTCGGTATGATATAGCACACAAACGACACACCAGCAATCCACCTGAAACAGTATGGATGTCGGTATGATATTACACACAAACGACACACCAGCAATCCATCTGAAACAGTATGGATGTCGGTATGATATTACACACAAACGACACACCAGCAATCCATCTGAAACAGTATGGATGTCGGTATGATATTACACACAAACGACACACCAGCAATCCATCTGAAACAGTATGGATGTCGGTATGATATTACACACAAACGACACACCAGCAATCCACCTGAAACAGTATGAATGTCGGTATGATGTTACACACAAACGACACACCAGCAATCCATCTGAAACAGTATGGATGTCGGTATGATATTACACACAAACGACACACCAGCAATCCACCTGAAACAGTATGAATGTCGGTATGATCGGTATGATTACACACAAACGACACACCAGCAATCCATCTGAAACAGTATGGATGTCGGTATGATATTACACACAAACGACACACCAGCAATCCATCTGAAACAGTATGAATGTCTGAAACAGTATGAATGTCGGTATGATATTACACACAAACGACACACCAGCAATCCATCTGAAACAGTATGGATGTCGGTATGATGTTACACACAAACGACACACCAGCAATCCATCTGAAACAGTATGAATGTCGCTATGATATTACGCACAAACGACACACCAGCAATCCATCTGAAACAGTATGGATGTCGATATAAATTATATTACACACAAACGACACACCAGTAATCCATCTGAAACAGTATGGATGTCGGTATGATATTACACACAAACGACACACCAGCAATCCATCTGAAACAGTATGGATGTCGGCGGTATGATATTACACACAAACGACACACCAGCAATCCATCTGAAACAGTATGGATGTCGGTATGATTTAACACACAAAAGACACACCAGCAATCCATCTGAAACAGTATGGATGTCGGCGGTATGATATTACACACAAACGACACACCAGTAATCCATCTGAAACAGTATGGATGTCGGTATGATATTACACACAAACGACACACCAGCAATCCACCTGAAACAGTATGAATGTCGGTATGATATTACACACAAACGACACACCAGCAATCCACCTGAAACAGTATGGATGTCGGTATGATATTACACACAAACGACACACCAGCAATCCACCTGAAACAGTATGAATGTCCGTATGATGTTACACAAAAACGACACACCAGCAATCCATCTGAAACAGTATGGATGTCGGTATGATATTACACACAAACGACACACCAGCAATCCATCTGAAACAGTATGAATGTCGGTATGATATTACACACAAACGACACACCAGCAATCCATCTGAAACAGTATGGATGTCGGTATGATATTACACACAAACGACACACCAGCAATCCATCTGAAACAGTATGGATGTCGGTATGATATTACACACAAACGACACACCAGCAATCCACCTGAAACAGTATGAATGTCGGTATGATATTACACACAAACGACACACCAGCAATCCATCTGAAACAGTATGGATGTCGGTATGATATTACACACAAACGACACACCAGCAATCCATCTGAAACAGTATGAATGTCGGTATGATATTACACACAAACGACACACCAGCAATCCATCTGAAACAGTATGGATGTCGGTATGATATTACACACAAACGACACACCAGCAATCCATCTGAAACAGTATGAATGTCGGTATGATATTACACACAAACGACACACCAGCAATCCATCTGAAACAGTATGGATGTCGGTGGTATGATATTGCACACAAACGACACACCAGCAATCCATCTGAAACAGTATGAATGTCGCTATGATATAGCACACAAACGCCACACCAGCAATCCATCTGAAACAGTATGAATGTCGGTATGATATTACACACAAACGACACACCAGCAATCCATCTGAAACAGTATGAATGTCGGTATGATATTACACACAAACGACACACCAGCAATCCATCTGAAACAGTATGGATGTCGGTATGATATTACACACAAACGACACACCAGTAATCCATCTGAAACAGTATGGATGTCGCTATGATATTACACACAAACGACACACCAGTAATCCATCTGAAACAGTATGGATGTTGGTATGATATTACACACAAAAGACACACCAGTAATTCATCTGAAACAGTATGGATGTCGGCGGTATGATATTACACAAAAAAGACACACCAGCAATCCATCTGAAACAGTATGAATGTCGGTATGATATTACACACAAACGTCACACCAGCAATCCATCTGAAACAGTATGGATGTCGGTATTACACACAAACGACATATTACACACACAACGACACACCAGCAATCCATCTGAAACAGTATGGATGTCGGTATGATATTACACACAAACGACACACCAGCAATCCATCTGAAACAGTATGGATGTCGGTATGATATTACACACAAACGACACACCAGTAATCCATCTGAAACAGTATGAATGTCAGTATTAATTATATTACGCACAAACGACACACCAGCAATCCATCTGAAACAGTATGGATGTCGGTATAAATTATATTACACACAAACGACACACCAGCAATCCATCTGAAACAGTATGGATGTCGGTATGATATTACACACAAACGACACACCAGCAATCCATCTGAAACAGTATGGATGTCGGTATGATATTACACACAAACGACACACCAGCAATCCATCTGAAACAGTATGAATGTCGGTATGATATTACACACAAACGACACACCAGCAATCCATCTGAAACAGTATGGATGTCGGTATGATATTACACAAAAAAACCACACCAGCAATCCATCTGAAACAGTATGGATGTCGGTATGATATTACACACAAACGACACACCAGCAATCCATCTGAAACAGTATGAATGTCGGTATGATATTACACACAAACGACACACCAGCAATCCATCTGAAACAGTATGAATGTCGGTATGATATTACACACAAACGACACACCAGCAATCCATCTGAAACAGTATGAATGTCGGTATGATATTACACACAAACGACACACCAGCAATCCATCTGAAACAGTATGGATGTCGGTATGATATTACACACAAACGTCACACCAGCAATCCATCTGAAACAGTATGAATGTCGGTATGATATAGCACACAAACGACACACCAGCAATCCATCTGAAACAGTATGGATGTCGGTATGATGTTACACACAAACGACACACCAGCAATCCATCTGAAACAGTATGAATGTCGGTATGATATAGCACATAAAAGACACACCAGCAATCCATCTGAAACAGTATGGATGTCGGTATGATATTACACACAAACGACACACCAGCAATCCATCTGAAACAGTATGAATGTCGGTATGATATAGCACATAAAAGACACACCAGCAATCCATCTGAAACAGTATGGATGTCGGTATGATATTACACACAAACGACACACCAGTAATCCATCTGAAACAGTATGGATGTCGGTATGATATTACACACAAACGACACACCAGCAATCCATCTGAAACAGTATGAATGTCGGTATGATATAGCACACAAACGACACACCAGCAATCCATCTGAAACAGTATGGATGTCGGTATAAATTATATTACACACAAACGACACACCAGCAATCCATCTGAAACAGTATGGATGTCGGTATAAATTATATTACACACAAACGACACTCCAGCAATCCATCTGAAACAGTATGGATGTCGGTATGAATTATATTACACAACATATATGCTTTTATGAATTCTTGGTTTTTATACATGGCCATAAGGTAGACTTTGGCAGGTTTTTTTAACATGATAACACATACTACATATGAGCGTATAAGTGTTGTTATATAGAAGATGTTAGAATTCCATTGTTTACCTGTAATGGTCGAATGGTTTGATAGTATCCACAGTGTCGCCGACCTTATCCTTTATACTATCCAAGTCAGAATCTCTTGCCTACATGAAAATGTGAAAATTATAATGAAACAAGTCTCCAAGATTTTGATGTACATGATTGCTACCATTCCAGGTTACATATACAATTATTATTTTTTGTAATAGTATAGAAGTTTACCTAGTAGGGAGAGGCTACCAGAAAAGTTGTTTTATTTTATGTGTTTTTATTTTTAATTTACAAATATTCACTACTGTATACTGAGTTTCTACAACTGGTTCCAAAATCAGATACAAATATTGTGACTCAGAAGGGTGAGGTCGGAAGCCGAGAACGGAAATCCGGGTTTTTTTTTACCAGATGCTTAATACTACATCTCCTCACTGATGAAATGAACCTTAAAAAACATTTATTTTAATACAGAAAGGGGATGCTCTTTTCCATTACTTAAACGAACTTGATAATGAAACAAGAAATTAAAGAGATATCCTGCCACCCGCCCACGCATGATCGTCTCTCCTCTATTTACTCTTTATAATATACTGCATTGACAGAAAATTCATGACAGAGTAACAACATGCACTGCCAGATAATTCACCATACAGTAACAACATGCTTTGACACATAATTCACCATACAGTAACAACATGCTTTGACACATAATTCACCATACAGTAACAACATGCACTGACAGATAATTCACCATACAGTAACAACATGCTTTGACACATAATTCACCATACAGTAACAACATGCTTTGACACATATTTCACCATACAGTAACAACATGCTTTGACACATAATTCACCATACAGTAACAACATGCACTGACAGATAATTCACCATACAGTAACAACATGCTTTGACACATAATTCACCATACAGTAACAACATGCTTTGACACATATTTCACCATACAGTAACAACATGCTTTGACACATAGTTCACCATACAGTAACAACATGCACTGACAGATAATTCACCATACAGTAACAACATGCTTTGACACATAATTCACCATACAGTAACAACATGCTTTGACACATATTTCACCACACAGTAACAACATGCTTTGACATATATTTCACCATACAGTAACAACATGCATTGACACATAATTCACCATACAGTAACAACATGCTTTGACACATATTTCACCATACAGTAACAACATGCTTTGACACATAATTCACCATACAGTAACAACATGCTTTGACACATATTTCACCATACAGTAACAACATGCTTTGACACATATTTCACCATACAGTAACAACATGCACTGACAGATAATTCACCATACAGTAACAACATGCATTGACACATAATTCACCATACAGTAACAACATGCACTGACAGATAATTCACCATACAGTAACAACATGCTTTGACACATAATTCACCATACAGTAACAACATGCATTGACAGGTAATTAACAATATAGAAACAACATGCATTGAGGATGATTTACCACGAAGTAACAACATGCATTGAGAGATGATTTACCACGAAGTAACAACATGCATTGGCAGATGGATTACCACGAAGTAACAACATGCATTGACAGATGATTTACCATATAGTAACAACATGCATTGACATATGATTTACCACGAAGTAACAACATGCATTGACAGATGATTTACCATACAGTAACAACATGCATTGACAGATAATTCACCATACAGTAACAACATGCACTGACAGATGATTTACTACGAAGTAACAACATGCATTGACAGATGATTTACCATGAAGTAACAACATGCATTGACAGATAACTCACCATACAGTAACAACATGCACTGAGAGATGATTTACCACGAAGTAACAACATGCACTGACAGATAATTTACCATACAGTAACAACATGCACTGACAGATAATTTACCATACAGTAACAACATGCACTGCCAGATAATTCACCATACAGTAACAACATGCTTTGACACATAATTCACCATACAGTAACAACATGCTTTGACACATAATTCACCATACAGTAACAACATGCACTGACAGATAATTCACCATACAGTAACAACATGCTTTGACACATAATTCACCATACAGTAACAACATGCTTTGACACATATTTCACCATACAGTAACAACATGCTTTGACACATAATTCACCATACAGTAACAACATGCACTGACAGATAATTCACCATACAGTAACAACATGCTTTGACACATAATTCACCATACAGTAACAACATGCTTTGACACATATTTCACCATACAGTAACAACATGCTTTGACACATAGTTCACCATACAGTAACAACATGCACTGACAGATAATTCACCATACAGTAACAACATGCTTTGACACATAATTCACCATACAGTAACAACATGCTTTGACACATATTTCACCACACAGTAACAACATGCTTTGACACATATTTCACCATACAGTAACAACATGCATTGACACATAATTCACCATACAGTAACAACATGCTTTGACACATATTTCACCATACAGTAACAACATGCTTTGACACATAATTCACCATACAGTAACAACATGCTTTGACACATATTTCACCATACAGTAACAACATGCTTTGACACATATTTCACCATACAGTAACAACATGCACTGACAGATAATTCACCATACAGTAACAACATGCATTGACACATAATTCACCATACAGTAACAACATGCACTGACAGATAATTTACCATACAGTAACAACATGCACTGACAGATAATTTACCATACAGTAACAACATGCACTGACAGATAATTCACCATACAGTAACAACATGCATTGACAGGTAATTTTTAATCTAGTACAACATGCATTGACAGAGTATTAACCATATAGAAACAACATGCATTGACAGATGATTTACCATACAGTAACAACATGCACTGACAGATAATTCACCATACAGTAACAACATGCTTTGACACATAATTCACCATACAGTAACAACATGCATTGACAGGTAATTAACAATATAGAAACAACATGCATTGAGGATGATTTACCACGAAGTAACAACATGCATTGAGAGATGATTTACCACGAAGTAACAACATGCATTGGCAGATGGATTACCACGAAGTAACAACATGCATTGACAGATGATTTACCATATAGTAACAACATGCATTGACATATGATTTACCACGAAGTAACAACATGCATTGACAGATGATTTACCATACAGTAACAACATGCATTGACAGATAATTCACCATACAGTAACAACATGCACTGACAGATGATTTACTACGAAGTAACAACATGCATTGACAGATGATTTACCATGAAGTAACAACATGCATTGACAGATAACTCACCATACAGTAACAACATGCACTGAGAGATGATTTACCACGAAGTAACAACATGCACTGACAGATAATTTACCATACAGTAACAACATGCACTGACAGATAATTTACCATACAGTAACAACATGCACTGACAGATAATTCACCATACAGTAACAACATGCATTGACAGGTAATTTTTAATCTAGTACAACATGCATTGACAGAGTATTAACCATATAGAAACAACATGCTTTGACACATATTTCACCATACAGTAACAACATGCTTTGACACATAATTCACCATACAGTAACAACATGCACTGACACATAATTCACCATACAGTAACAACATGCTTTGACACATAATTCACCATACAGTAACAACATGCATTGACAGGTAATTAACAATATAGAAACAACATGCATTGAGGATGATTTACCACGAAGTAACAACATGCATTGAGAGATGATTTACCACGAAGTAACAACATGCATTGGCAGATGGATTACCACGAAGTAACAACATGCATTGACATTTACCATATAGTAACAACATGCATTGACATATGATTTACCACAGTAACAACATGCATTGACAGATGATTTACCATACAGTAACAACATAACAGATAATTCACCATACAGTAACAACATGCACTGACAGATGATTTACTACGAAGTAACAACATGCATTGACAGATGATTTACCATGAAGTAACAACATGCATTGACAGATAACTCACCATACAGTAACAACATGCACTGAGAGATGATTTACCACGAAGTAACAACTTGCATTGACAGATGATTTACCATACAGTAACAACATGCATTGACAGATGATTTACCACGAAGTAACAACATGCATTGAGAGATGATTTACCACGAAGTAACAACATGCATTGACAGATGATTTACCACGAAGTAACAACATACATTGACAGATGATTTACCACGAAGTAACAACATGCATTGAGAGATGATTTACCACGAAGTAACAACATGCATTGACAGATGATTTACCATACAGTAACAACATGCATTGAGAGATGATTTACCACGAAGTAACAACAGTAATATTGGTAAAGACACGTGTAATATTCCAATAATGAATATCTTAAGCACATTTAGAAGCCAAGAGGAACCTACAAGTGAATTTTAATGACTATTCATCAAGTACTTTTGAAGCGATTAAAATAACAAAACTGCCAACATCCAAGATGGCTGCTCATCATCTTTTGCTTTCTTTTTTTTTTTTTTTCTTTTTATCCGGCTCAAAATTGAATGGACGCCATTAGGGACTAAGAGACGCAGATGGATAATGCTTATTTGAGTTATGCCTGTATGTACTCCTCAAGAAATGACAAACATCATATATCTATATGGTAACTTGTCAGCTATTATGATTTTCTGATTAAAAGTGAAAGGGCATCACCAGGAAATAAGAAGAACCTTCAATATAAGACTAGAGAAATAGAAATTTAACAAATGGTATTATTCTCTCAGAACTTTTTCATGAGTCTCCGTTTAAATCTTTCTTTTTCATGTTTTGCCCTAATCAGAATTTGAGAATGGATTATGATTATGTTAACAAGATTTTCTTGTGTGGTTATGTATTAATTGCGACAACAAACATTTGGTGCTGAAATCCATGATCATTAATTGTCAGCTAAACGGCACCAATAAGGACTAATAGAAAACTACAGAAAGTCCCGCCTGAATATTTTGAGAAAAAGCTCTCAGGTTTAATCCAAAAATA